GTGTGTTTGACTAATGACAGGGTTGTGTGTGTTCGACTAATGACAGTGTTGGTGTTTGCCCATGGAGTTGCTTGTGTGTTGACTAATGACAGTGTTGTGTGTGTTACTAATGACAGTGTTGTGTGGGTTCTGATGACGTGGTTGTGTGTTGACTAATGACAGTGTTGTGTGTTTGACTAATGACAGGTTGTGTTGTTGACTAATGCAGTGTTGTGTGTGTTGGCTAATGACATGTTGTGTTTTGACTAATGACAGTGTTGTGTGTGTTGACTAATAAGAGTTTTGTGTGTTGACAATGACAGTGTTGGTATGTTGCCCAATGACAGTGGTTGTGGTGTTGATAATACAGTGTTGTGGTGTTTACTAATGACAGTGTGTGGTGTGGGCTAATGACAGTGTTGTGTGTGTTGACTAATGCAGTGTTGTGTGTATTGACTAATGACAGTGTTGTGTGTGTTGCCTAATGACAGTATTGAGTGTGTTGACTACAACACTCCACCAGTCACTAAACACTATGATGACACTACAACACTCCACCAGTCACTAAACACTATGATGACACTACAACACTCTGCCAGTCACTAAACACTATGATGACACTACAACACTCCACCAGTCACTAACACTATGATGACACTACAACATCCACCAGTCACTAAACACTATGATGCACCAACACCTCCCAGTCACTAAACCTATGATGAACTACAAAAACTCCACCAGTCACTAACCTATGATGACACTACAACACCACCATCACTAAACACTATGTGACACTACAACCACCTCCAGGGTCACTAAACACTATGATGACATACACACTCCCCAGCACTAAACACTATGATGCACTACAACACTCCACCAGTCACTAAACATATGATGACCCCACAACAGTCCCCCGTCACTAACACTATGAGGGACACTAAAACCCAACTCGCACGCACTAAACATAATGACCTACAACACCCACCAGTCAAAAACCCACTTGATGACCTACAACACTCCACCAGTCACTAAACACTTGATGCCTACAAACACCCCGCGTCACTAAACATATGTGACACTAAACGTCAAGTCACTAAACACTTGATGACCTCAACACCCCACCAGTCACTAAACCTATGATACACACAACCACCCAGTCACTAAACACTATGTTTGACCACTACAAACTCCAAACAGTCACAAACACATGATGACTACAAACACTCTCCCAGTCACTAAACACTATGATGACCTACAAACTCCACCAGTCACTAACACTATGATGACACTACAACACTCCACCAGTCACTAACCACTATGATGACATACAACACTCCGCCGTCACTAACACTATGATGACACTACAACACTCCCAGTCACTAAACACTATGATGACCTACAACATCCCAGTCACTAAACACTATGATGACACTCACAACATCACCAGTCACTAAACACTATGATGGACACTACAACACTCCCCGTCAACAAACACTATGATGACACTACACACTCGCCAGTCACAAACACTATGATGACACTACAACACTCCACCAGTCACTAAACACTATGATGACACTACAACACTCCACCAGTCACTAAACACTATGATGACACTACAACAGTCCACAGTCACTAACACCTATGATGACACTACAACACTCCACCAGTCACTAAACACTATGATGACACTACAACACTCCGCCAGTCACTAAACACTATGATGACACTACAACACTCTGCCAGTCACTAAACACTATGATGACACTACAACACTCCACCAGTCACTAAACACTATGATGACACTACAACACTCCACCAGTCACTAAACACTATGATGACACTACAACACTCCCACCATCACTAAACCCACCCTATATGGACACTACAACACTCCACCAGTCACTAAACACTATGATGACACTACAACACTCCACCAGTCACTAAACACTATGATGACACTACAACACTCCACCAGTCACTAAACACTATGATGACACTACAACAGTCCACCAGTCACTAAACACTATGATGACACTAAACACTCCACCAGTCACTAAACACTAACCTAACTTTCATTATTCTAACAGAAATCTGGATAAAACTAAAGTCTATACACATCTACAGTTTACCCGGGAACAAAGTCATTCATTAAGTTCATTCATGTACCAGTGATGACCATCACGAGTACATATTTACTCAGTTTATAGCTAAAAACATAAGTACACCATTAGCAATAGCACTTGTGATTTTGCCTTAAATTGCAACGCACATCTAGCTGAATAAGGGAAGCGAAAATTTGTTTATGTAATAATTTCACAAAAATCATTATGAATCTAAGGAAAAAATTATATTTCTTTGTGTTTGTTTACTATTAAATTATTGTAAAATTATACAAAATATATTTAGTTGAATTAGTCTAAATTAAATTGCGATTGCTATAAAATGGTTAGGTAAGTTTCCTAAGGTTCTTTTGGTACAAAATCATTAATTTTTATATTACAATAAATGAAAAAATATATCTTTAAATCGGAAAGCAGTTCATTTTATATTATTTCTTGCTAACTGATCAGTTTAACTTTTCGGCACATATATATATATATATATATGTATATATTATATATATTATATATATATATATATATATATATATATATATATATATATATATATATATATATATAAACTGCAGATAGCCGGAGGAAAGAACCCATGTTGTTTTAGCCCGCCTCGTGGGAGGAGAGCGAAAACTCACGACATTCTAAGCCACTGGACTATACAATCCTACAAACAACATAAACCTAGCGAACTAGACTTCAATAATATATATACAATAATATATGTACTGCTTGTGGAGGCTAGTACGCCAAACGGGGAGTAGAATAAAGTTAGCTCTGAGGCTACCACATCACCGTATGTCCTCGCAACATGAAACAAGCCTAGTTCGGTAGGCTCATTCCTGAATACTACTACACTATTACCTTACTGAAGACTGCTACATTCTACATTATGGAGTCAGCCTCTTTCTGCAGTGTTGGAGGATGCTGCACTCTACATAGTTTTAACCTACACTGAATATTGTTGGAGGCTGCTGTATTCTCATTGTTGGAGGATGATTCACTCTACATTTTTGAAGGCTACAACATTGTTGTAGCCTTCAACAAAGCGAAGCATTGTTGAAGAATGCTTCGCTTTGTGTTGCTGGTGACTGCTGCACTCATTTTTGTTGGATGTTATTGCATATTGCAATGTTAGAGGTTGCCACACTCCACACTGGTTTGAACTTATACACTGCACATTGCTGGAGGATGTTGCATTTTGCGTTGTTGGAAACAGCGGCCCTCCTTGTTACGGGAGACTACTACACTCTCTTGTGGAACGCTGCAACGTTGGAAACTCCTGCACTGTTGGTGGCTGCTACACTATACTGTTGCAGTCTAGTGCATGGAGGTTGTTGGGGGTCATCGCCGCCTCTGGTGATCCATAACCCGGCCTCACAGAGGATCAAAGCTTGCTTTACAATATGCAGAAAAAAATCCCCACGACAGAAGACACGGCGGACGGTGCAACATACTCTCAATGAAAAGTAGGGGCGCCTTGAGTACACTAAGAGAAAACACAATATGTGTAAGGGGCCCAAGACTGTTCAACAGCCTCCCATCATACATATGGGGGATTACCAATAGATCCCTGGCTGTCTTCGAGAGTGAGCTGGACAAATTCCTAAAGTCAGTGCCTTACCAGCCGGGCTGTAGTTCTTACGCTGGATTGCTTGCGGCCCTGGTTGATCTGGCCCTGATCCACAGTGAAGCCTAGTGATCCATCGGCCGCGAGGGGCGTTGACCCCCAGAACACCCTCCAGGTAGACTCCAGGTAGAGTGCTTTTCTCTGATTTAGGCAGTTTATTGAAAGTCTTCATTTGCATCCAATAAATTAACAATGTAAACTCAGTTCTTGTGATGTGGAGTATACCAAGACTTCAATGTTAATAACAGGAGTGAGAGTATGTGTGTTAGTTATGTGTTAGTTGAGTGAGGTGGAATGTTTGAAGGTGTAGAAGGTAATGTTGTAGAGGGTGATAAACTTGCATATGTGGGAGGGTGGTGGACGTAACGATGGGTGGATGTTCAAAGGTATGAGGAAGACTGAAGGGGAACAAGAGAAAACTGTAGGGGACATTTGAAGTTGTGGAAGGTGTTGCTTGTGGCGGTAGAGGATGTAGATAGTTATAGGGAGGGTTGTGTGGGTGGCTGTAAGAGTGAGGCTGTGTGGGTGGCTGTAAGGGTGAGATTGTGTGGGTGACTGGAAGGATGATGTTGTGTTGGTGGCTGTTAGGGTGATGTTGTGTTGGTGGCTATTAGGGTACGGTTGTGTTGGTGGCTGTTAAGGTGAGGTTGTCTGGGTGGCTGTTAGGGGGGAGGTTATGTGGATGGTTGTTAGGGTGAGGTTGTGTGGGTGGCTGTTAGGGTGAGGTTGTGTTGGTGGCCGTGGTAAGAACCGAGGGGGAGTAAACGTGAGGGAGTATGTGTGTGAAGGTGACAATGACGAAGGGAAGGAGAGAGATGGTGTAAGTGTTAAGGAGTGTGGTGTAAGGGTGACTAATGATAGAGGGAGTGTTGGTGTGAGGGTGACTATGATAGAGGGAGTGTTGGTGTGAGGGGTGACTGTGATAGAGGGAGTGTTGGTGTGAGGGGTGAGTGTGATAGAGGGAGTGTTGGTGTGAGGGTGACTGTGATAGAGGGAGAGAGTATGTGAGGGAGTGTAATAGTGAGGAGGTATGTGGGCGGCCATGGTAGAAGTAGAGAAAGGTGGGCAGGCATTGTGTGTGCAGGTGAGTCCCGTGCCCCGCCGCCCTCAGCTCCGCCGTCACGCCCATTAGCGGGTGAGGTGGGCGAGCCGCGAGTTACCAGGACGTGGGTGGTCGCCGTCACCACACGCACTCACGATGAAGATTTCCAGCCGTCCATCTTCATTTGAATACCATGGAAGGCGAGGAGAGAGTGGACATGGTCAGCGCGTGTCTTTGGCAACCTCTGTCCTCTCCCGGACCCAGATTCGCACACCTCTCTATCGTCTCTCTGTGCGGCCTTGTTTAGGTCTAAATTGGCATGTCGAATTCTGTGCCTGTGAGAGGCCGAGTGCCTCACTGTCTGGCCCTCTAGCAATGCCTGGTACCCCTCGTTGGCGTATGATAGTTACAGCCCACTTCAGCGGTCGGCCAGTAAACTGGCACCAGCTGCAAAGTAGATGTGCTGTGTATATCATTCTAAATCATGGCGGGCCCGCACACCCGTTGTTAGCTTGTTTCAGCTGTAATTCAGCTAGGAAGAAGGCGTGTAATCGCGTGTTTCTGCTGACAGGCATAGGACACTGCGACGGCTGGCCCCGTGATTGTGTGTATGTTTTAGTTTACCCTGGTGAGGGGGGGCGTCAGGCCCCGCCCACCAACACCCCGAGCACCAATCAGCGGCCGGGTCCCTCACATCAAACACCGCCGCCGCTACAGCCTCACGCACCGTCAGTCTAGAAGCGTTTCGAGTTTTGAGTTAATGGTAGTGTTTACATGAAGTTTAGCGCTGTGCCTCGAACATTTTTTTTTCCCATTGCTAGAAAATTGACGGGTGTGCTGAGGAGTGGAGGTTGCAAAAGCTATCGGGAGTGCAGGAGAACACCGGGAGGCGTGGGTCGGCGGCGGCGGCGGACAAGACCACCATCTCTCATTTCTCTCGTAGGGAGATAATTCCAGCTTCCGGATTCCTACGACACACGATCTTATCCTCTCCTGCGGCAAGTGTGGGGAGGCCGAGGCGGCCTGGGTGGAGGTCAGCCTCTACCATGTTCAGGAGAGGCTGCGAGGAGAGTCACCGCCGGCATAACCCGCCCCTCTTGTTGTTATTGCTGCTGCCTTCCTGAGGGACGCCTGCTGTTGCATGCAACTCTGCTCAAGTGCCTTACTCTAGTGCCATACTCCTCCCTCCGCTATATTACGCTTAACATCTGATATAATAGTATTTTTACAGTGGACTATTTTTATACATTGTTTATAATCTCTTCTGAATGCGGTGATATATTAAAAATGTGAGAAGATAAGATTAGTTAAACATTTTATATCAGAAGATAGTATTCCTGGATATATTCCGTCCATTGTGGGATTAAAACAACCACAGTCAAGTTCCAGATTGTTTTCAAGCACAGAGATGAAGTAGATGCTCTCCTCATTATTATTAAAAAAAAAAAAAACGGGCATCCGGTGGGTGAGGACTGGTCTTCCCGCGCTGGAGTCATCATCATCCTCCATGTCTGGCTGCTGATAACATGAAGTAAGAACCTTCGCTGCCCTCAGCTATCTAGAAATGTACAAGTTGATAATATAACAAAACACAATAAATCATCGCCAGTAAGTGCCTCTTGATATTTTGTTATAAATCGTAAGTCCTCATCTCATCTGTAATCTCTGCGTCTCCAAGGTCTTCATTACAAGATTTTTCGTTGGGTTCAGTCCATTTCAAAGTGTCTTTCGCAGTCGTGTCCTTATCGTGTTACCTCGACCGTGTCTCCATCAGGATAACTTCGCCGTCTCTCCATCAGGATAACTTCGCCGTCTCTCCATCAGGATAACTTCGCCGTCTCTCCATCAGGATACATCGGCCGAGTCTCTATCAGGATACCTCGACTCGGTCTCCATTATGATATCTCGGCCGTGTCTTCATTAGTATACCTGGCTCAGTGTGCGATATGGGATAGTAAAGCTGTGAGTAGAGGTCCCTCAGTCGTACTACTGGCAACAATTCCACACTGGTGCGAAGCGTCGCTATCTGCCACTTCTGAAAATTTTCTTGGCCATTACTGGGGAAAGAACCATAAGCCTTTTCATCCACCGACTAGAGGAACGTCGTGCCGTTGCAACGACTGCGAGGAATGTTAGACTTTTGCAACTTTTGACGGTTTAACCTTAGGCCACTGACAGAGAAACGTCAAGCCTTTGTAATGACGAAAAGAAAAATTTTGACCTTTGCAGTCAATAAAGGAGAAACATGCCTTTGCCACCTCTGATAGCGAAATTATAGGCCTCTGTACCACCAACAGAAGATCGAAAAAAAATTCTTTACTATCGCCGACGGAATTAAAAAATAATTTCACCTCCATCGGAAGATTAAAACAAAAAATCGCTATCACTAAGGCTTCAAAAACCATCTTCTCTACTAACGGAAAATCAAAGAAACCATCACAGAGTGACAAACAAGTTTTTCTTCCCAGCGAGAAAACGTTCCCGTCTACCTTAAACAATCTCTGTCGGCATAAAAGTCCCACCAGCTACTATTCCGAAACTCAAGGAAATTTCCCTACTAGAAAGGACGCCAACGGGAGACTCATGATTATTATAACATTAATGTAATGCTCTAAACCCGTGTGGGTCATTCAGGCAAGGACTGGTGGCTCGATCCTCCATTCGCCAATCCCGAAACAAAAAGTTCTGGTCTCGTGCCGGATATTCTTCAAGAAATTCTTGAGCAAACTCATTAATGAAAGACGGTGCGTTGGCCAGCACCTCAACTATGGCAGTGTCTGCAGGAGCGCTTGGCCTCTCACAGATGCGTCCAATCTTCTCCGGCTACCCGTTCCAAGGTAAGACCTCACCCATACATTGTAATGGTAACACACTTGGAATCATTTTGTTGTGTACGCCAGCATATATTATAAGCATTAAAGTAATGTCTGGTTTCACCTTTACTCATGAGAAGTAATAGCTTTAAATTGCTATTGGCCAGTAGGTAATGATCCCAGGGTTGTAATATTGACAAACATCGAAGGGTTAATAATTTTAAAGGTAGACTAAGTTAATATTAGCTGACTAGTATCGACGTCAATTTCTCAGCAGTATTGGGTGGAATTTATTGTCAGGTGATCACGCGAACCTAGCTGACCTCTCTCTCACAGAGACCACTCACACATCGCGAGCTGGTCCCAGCGAGTTTTTCGCTACAGACCACTGACAGACTCGAATTAGTTTCAGTGAGCTTCTCGCTACAGACCAGTCACAGACGAATATCTCGCTAACTACTCACAGTTAGAGAACTGGTCATGGAGAGTTAGTAGATAGAGATCACGCCAAAACCTAGTAACTCGATACCCAGTTTCGGACCTCGAGATAATCTTAGCAAAATTCACAGACCGGAAACTGGTCCTATCGAGCCTCTTACTAGACACCGGTCATACAACTGCTCTTAGCAAACTCGTTACCAGAAACTATTCCTAGACAACGAACTTGTCCCAGCGATTTCGTGACCATAAAACAAACCTGTTACAGGCTACGAACTGCTGCTAGCGATCTCGTTATAAGGAACTATTCGTAGATAACGAACTGCTCTCAACGATCTCGTTACTATAAACCATTCATACGCCTTTCGAAGCTTCCGTTCACTTGACTTTAAAGGGAAAATAAAGTGTTGAAGGTATCGGAGGCTGATGAACAATGTCAAGAACCACTGTCATGGTTACAAACCAGGTCACTTCCGGTGAGGTCTATCCCAACCTGTGGGGAAACTATACGAACGTTTGACGATATTTTGTGAGCGTGTGGGAACACACTGTGAACGTGTGGGCACACTTTGTGAACGTGTGGGCACACTTTGTGAACGTGTGGGCACACTTTGTGAACGTGTGGGCACACTTTCTGAACGTGTGGGCACACTTTTTGAACGTGTGGGCACACTTTGTGAACGTGTGGGACCTTTGTGAACGTGTGGCACACTTTAGTGAAAGTGTGGGACACTTTCTGAACGTGTGGGCATACTTTTTAACGTGTGGGCAACTTTGTGATACGATGTGGGGACACTTTGTGAACGTGTGGGCACACTTTGTGAACGTGTGGGCACACTTTGTGAACGTGTGGGCACACTTTCTGAACGTGTGAGGGATTTTTTTTCTTGAGCGTGTGATGAACTTTTGGAACGTTATAAGAATTTTATGAATAAATGGGGATACTTTGTATACATGTGGGGATACTTTGTATACATGTGGGGATACTTTGCATACATGTGGGGATACTTTGTATACATGTGGGGATACTTTGCATACATGTGGGGATACTTTGTATACATGTGGGGATACTTTGCATACATGTGGGGATACTTTGTATACATGTGGGGATACTTTGTATACATGTGGGGATACTTTGCATACATGTGGGGATACTTTGTATACATGTGGGGATACTTTGCATACATGTGGGGATACTTTGTATACATGTGGGGATACTTTGTATACATGTGGGGATACTTTGCATACATGTGGGGATACTTTGCATACATGTGGGGATACTTTGCATACATGTGGGGATACTTTGTATACATGTGGGGATACTTTGTATACATGTGGGATACTTTGTATACATGTGGGGATACTTTGCATACATGTGGGGATACTTTGTATACATGTGGGGATACTTTGTATACATGTGGGATACTTTGCATACATGTGGGGATACTTTGTATACATGTGGGGATACTTTGCATACATGTGGGGATTACTTTGTATACATGTGGGGATACTTTGTATACATGTGGGGATACTTTGCATACATGTGGGGATACTTTGTATACATGTGGGGATACTTTGCATACATGTGGGATACTTTGTATACATGTGGGGAATACTTGCATACATGTGGGGATACTTTGTATACATGTGGGGATACTTTGCATACATGTGGGGATACTTTGTATACATGTGGGGATACTTTGTATACATGTGGGTATACTTTGCATACATGTGGGGATACTTTGTATACATGTGGGGATACTTTGCATACATGTGGGGATACTTTGTATACATGTGGGGATACTTTGTATACATGTGGGGATACTTTGTATACATGTGGGGATACTTTGTATACATGTGGGGATACTTTGTATACATGTGGGGATACTTTGCATACATGTGGGGATACTTTGTATACATGTGGAGGACACTTTGTATACATGTGGGGATACTTTGTATACATGTGGGGATACTTTGTATACATGTGGGGATACTTTGTATACATGTGGGGATACTTTGTATATATGTGGGGATACTTTGTATACATGTTGGGATACTTTGTATACATGTGGGGATACTTTGTATACATGTGGGGACACTTTGTATACATGTGGGGATACTTTGTATACATGTGGGGATACTTTGTATACATGTGGGGATACTTTGTATATATGTGGGGATACTTTGTATACATGTGGGGATACTTTGTATACATGTGGGGATACTTTGTATACATGTGGGGATACTTTGTATACATGTGGGGATACTTTGTATACATGTGGGATACTTTGTATAATGTGGGGATACTTTGTATACATGTGGGGATACTTTGTATACATGTGGGGATACTTTGTATACATGTGGGGATACTTTGTATACATGTGGGGATACTTGTTAACATGTGGGATACTTTGTATACATGTGGGGATACTTTGTATACATGTGGGGATACTTTGTATACATGTGGGGATACTTTGTATACATGTGGGGATACTTTGTATACATGTGGGGATACTTTGTATACATGTGGGGATACTTTGTATACATGTGGGGATACTTTGTATACATGTGGGAATACTTTGTATACATGCGGGGATACTTTGTATACATGTGGAGGACACTTTGTATACATGTGGGAATACTTTGTATACGTGTGGAGATACTTTGTAAGCGTGTAGGGATATTTAAAAAAATATGTGGGGATATTTTTTAAACATGTGAGGGATATTTTTTAAACATGTGAGGATATTTGAAACATGTGAGGGGATATTTTTTAAACACGTGGGGAATATTTTGAAAACATGTGGGGGATATTTTGAAAACATGTGAGGGATATTTTTTAAACATGTGGGGAATATTTTGAAAACATGTGAGGGATATTTTTTAAACATGTGGGGAATATTTTGAAAACATGTGAGGGATATTTTTTAAACATGTGGGGGATATTTTGAAAACATGTGAGGGATATTTTGAAAACATGTGAGGGATATTTTTTAAACATGTGGGGGATATTTTGAAAACATGTGGGGGATATTTTGAAAACATGTGAGGGATATTTTTTAAACATGTGGGGGATATTTTTAAAATATGTGGGGGATATTTTTAAACATGTGAGGGATATTTTTAAAACATGTGGGGGATATTTTTAAAACATGTGGGGATATTTTTAAAACATGTGAGGGATATTTTTAAAACATGTGGGGGATATTTTTAAAACATGTGGGGGATATTTTTAAAACATGTGGGGATATTTTTAAAACATGTGAGGGATATTTTTAAAACGTGAGGGATATTTTTAAAACATTTGGGGGATATTTTAAAAATATTTTGGGGGTATTTTGTAAAACATGTGGGGGATATTTTTAAAACATTTGGGGATATTTTTAAAACATGTGAGGGTATTTTAAAACATGTGAGGGATATTTTTAAAACATGTGAGGGATATTTTTAAAACATGTGAGGGATATTTTTAAAACATGTGAGGGATATTTTTAAAACATGTGGGGGATATTTTTAAAACGTGTGGGGGTATTTTGAAAAAATTTGGGGGAGTATTTTCGAAACATGTGGGGGTATTTTCAAAACATGTGGGGATATTTTCAAAACATGTGGGGGTATTTTCAAAACATGTGGGGGTATTTTCAAAACTTGTGGGGAATATTTACAAAACATATGAACATAAGAAAGAAGGAACACTGCAACAGGCCTACTGGCCTGTGCGAGGCAGCTCCAATTCTCCCACCGGCTTAAGCCAATGCCTTGATCTAGTGAGGTCAGACACATCACTTTTAGGGAGGAGCACTGCGTCCGACCATGTAGCACAAGCTAATCAGGTCCACCTCACACCCACTCACACCCACTCATGTTTTTATCCAACCTATTTTTTAAGACTACACAACGTCTTAGCGTCTATGACGGTACTTGGGAGTTTGTTCCACTCGTCCACAACTCTATTACCAAACCAGTGCTTTCCTATGTCCTTCCTGAATCTGAATTTTTCCAATTTAAAGCCATTGCTTCGAGTCCTGTCTATGCTAGATATTTTTAGCACGCTATTTACATCCTCTTTATTAATTCCTGTTTTTCATTTATACACCTCAATCATATCCCCCATAATTCTACGCCTTTCTAGAGAGTGCAGTTCAGGGACCTCAGTTTATCCTCATAGGGAAGATTTCTGATACATGGGATCAACTTTGTCATCCTCCTCTGGACGTTTTCCAGAGCATTCATATCCATTCTGTAATACGGCGACCAGAACTGTGCAGCATAATCTAAATGAGGCCTAACCAAGGATATATAGAGTTGAAGAACAACCTGAGCATTTCTATTATTTATACTTCTAGATATGAAGCCAAGGATTCTGTTAGCTTTATTGCGAACATTAATGCACTGTTGTCTTGGTTTTAGATTACTGCTAACCAGAACTCCTAAATCCTTTCCGCAATCCGTAATATTAAGATCTACATTGTTTAGTTTATATGTGGCATGGTTATTTTCCTGTCCAACATTTAGGACTTTGTATTTGTCTATATTAAACTGCATCTGCCACTTCTCCGACCATTGCATCAGTCTATTCAAATCAT